TCGATTTGGCTCGGCTAATTTGCAGCCCTAGTCCTACTCCACATTAATATACCTACCAACTACTACTTGCCAGCTACCCCACACCACACCACACGCTCGCTCTCTCTCTCTCTCTCACACACACACACATTACACACACATATACATACACTAACACACACAGAGACGCCCCGCCTCATCGTCTCCGATCTCTCTTCGACGCTCCACCCATCGCCGCCGCGCAGCCACCAGATGCAATGGACGTCGGCGTTCCTGCGACGTCTGCTGTCAGCTCCGTCGATCGCAGTCATCCTGCCGCTCGCCGCAACCTGTCGTCTTTCATGTATCCTTCGCGATGGGCGAGGCTTTGTCCCAGTGAACACTCACCGGAGAAGGCAACCACATCGCCTCGCCGGTTGACTCTATCACCAGTCGGCCCCGTATCCTTGCCAGAATCGAGATAGGTGATGAGATTGTTGAGGAGGAACCTGACCTTGGAGACCCTAACCGGAGCCTGTACGTCGCAGAGATGCTGGGGGATGTGACTGAGACGACAGAGGCATACGGCAGCGACGGAAAGAGGCAGTTTTCCGGCAAGGAAAAGATAGGGGCTTTACTTTATAAACTAGTGTGTATCCCGTGCGCTGCACAGAGGGGTTTTTACTTAAAACCTTTTCTAAGACTTTATATTAAACATAGTTATTTATATTTAACATCTTATTATTATAAAAAAAGAAATACCAAATATGAAAAATTATATATTATTTATTTGAATATAATGAATGTCCCCAACCAAACTAATAACATCCAACATATGATATATGATAAAATTAATTATATGATCGTCATACTTTTTGAAAAAATATACATATATTTCTAATAAACATGTAAGATCCGCATTTAAATTTGTATTTGGATATGGGATGAAAAATAAATATGTACAAATAAAAAAGTACCAAGAACCTACATAAAATGAGATTCTTTATAAACTTTAAAATATTTTGTAGTTAAGCAAATATTAACAAACAAAATCATCAATTAAGTTGAACTTATCGAATATAAAATATAATTTATGATATCATTGACCATATTTACCCGTTGTATTTAAAGTTATCATTGACCATATTTTTATGAATTAAGATTTACAAAATATCTTTTTCAAAATAACAATTTTTTTTAATTTGAATTTGACTTTTTCATCCAACCGCCATTTTCCACAAAAATAAAAATAGTATTTTGGAAAATTTTAGACGTGAAAATCAAATAAAATTAATTTAATAGTAACCGATTAATTTAATATTATTCAAAATTGTTTAATTCGGTCAACCCGATCTTAGTGCACGTTTAATTGAAACAATCGCTTACAAAAAAAAAAGGTAATCGCTTACAAAAAAAGGAAGTGAAATCTATCTATATAATATAAATCGGATTTGAAAAAAAAAGGAAATTAAATTTCATAATTAATTAATTTAAATTGATGTTATCCGATTTATATCAACTCCCTTCCAAAAAAAAGAAAATATCCGATTCCTACCAAATCGATTAAAAAAAAAAAGGATTATGATATACGTCCAAATAAATTACAATTGAAATGTAGGCGGGATTATGAAAAAAAAAAAAAAAACTTTACCGAATAAAGTAATAAAACGAAAAAAAAAGCGGGAATATGAAGCGGGAAAATAAGATAATTTTTTTGAGTTTTTTGAACAATTTTTCTTAGTCGTAATAATAGTAATAGATTTCCAAAATGTTACCACACATTTTTTTCTATTTTTCTTGTTTTTATTAAATTTTATTTACATAAGATATACATTGGTTAATTTTAAATTGAATCTAAAAGTCAACTCCTCACACTTTTCGAAAAATGTTACCACACAATTTTTTTTTTCTTATTATGTTTTATTTACATAAGATATACATTAGTGGTTAATTTCAAATTAAATCTAAAATTCAACTCCTCACATTCTTGAATTTGAATTTTTAAATAAGGAAATGTGTTTCCATATTTTTTGGTAGTTAGAATATGTTGGATTCATTTATCTATAACTAATCATACACGTATTCAAAATTTGAACCCAAACAATATTCTTTGAATTTTTTGCTAACAAAATCACCTTCCCATAATTTATTTATTTCGAAAAATGTTACCACACAATCTTTTTAATTTTGTTTTTCTATTAAATTTTATTTACATAAAATATACATTTGTTAATATTAAATTGAATTTAAAATTCAACTCATCACAAATTTGTATATATATATATATATATATATATATATAGAGTGAGAGAGAGAGAAAGGGGATTCTCTTTTTTTTACATATTTAAAAAAAATCTAATCAAATTTTGAATCCCGAATTAAAATCGAATTGTAATGTGAACTGAAAAGATTTGAAATCTAATCATGTTGTAGATAAGGGAAATCCATGGCAAAAAAAGGGGATGAAAAAAATTCAAATTAAATTTAAGGGGAAAAAACAGTTTTTTAAGCGGGAATTTGAAATATTTTTTCAAACATTTTTTCTTCTCCGTATTATATAGTAATAGATTTGATAGGTGTTAGGGACTTAAATGCAATTTTTGGAATTTTAATAAAGTTCAATTCGTTCCATGGGTTAAATCAGCAATTTATATAAAATTAATAATAAAATATCTTTTTTTTTTCATTTTTTTACACACATATATTAAAATAATATATAAAAACAAAAATAACATAAAAAAATAAAAAAATAAAAAAATATATTGCATAATAAATAATTTTTTTAATATAAATAATAAATTATTTGATTATTTAGATAAATTCATTTATATTGGTTAATTGTTAGTTTAAACTTGCACATGTAAAAATTTCATAATGAGGATGCACAATATTTTTAAACGAGACACACATTATTGACTATCGAACTGCACAACAGTGTTAAATCGAATGCACATCAATTCGACCGAGATTGAACATCAACATAACATTGTGAATTTTAACAAAATATAAAAGTATTGGATATTTCATTCCGATTTCGAATTTATTTATAAAATAAATAAAAAAAATAACAAAATCAACCAAACTATATAAAAAATCAAAATATATTGTAAATGTGAGAACATATAAGGATCGCATCTATAGAATACATATACAAACAAGAGATGAAGGGGGGAATTGTCTTCTGGCGGGAATAAGGGTCAACCACAAGTGTTGGGTAAGGGTGAGCATGGTGCGGCTCGGTGCAAATTAAATCGCCCGAACTGCAAAAAAACCGAAAACTGAAAATGTTTGTTTATCCAAACTAAACCGCACTGAAATTAGAAGAAAAACCCAACCAAAACCACACCGAAATTTTCGGTTCGGTGCAATGCGGTTTCGGTTAACAATAATATTTTTTAAGAAAAAAAAAGTATTCAAAATAAAATGAAGCTACATCATCATCATCGTCATCTAATGTGCAATAGTACCAAACCAAAAGCCCAAAGTTTGAACTGAAAGTGAAAAACTAGGGCATGAAATTATATTTTAATATAATGTTTTAATTGTCAATTGTTAATTGTTATTGTTATTATTTATTAATTTACTTATTTATTGTTAATGTCAGCCAACCCAAACCCAAGACCCAAAATCATCCCGTATATGTACAGTACAAACATGTTAACATATTTTTGTAAAAAAAAAAATAATAATAATAACTATTCGGTGCGGTTCGGTTAAAACCGCATACTTCAGACAAAAAATCGAACCGAACCGCACCGAAAACAGAACCCTAGAAAATCGAACCGCACCGAATACATCAATTCAGTTTGATTTTTCAGTTTCGGCACGATTTTACTCACCCCTAGTGTTTGGGCATGCTCTTGATATGAAAGAGAAAATACATCCCTTTCACTAATTTCCTTCACTTCTCCTTTATCCCTTTTGTATATTCTCCATCTTTTTCTTATCTTCACTTTTCTTTTGCATTCTTATGCATGGATATCTACCACAAAAGCCCGCAAGTGGAAAAGATAAATATCATCATTCGACTACTTTTATCTCATGGATTCTATTCGTAAATAAAATTACCTTTCTTCATTTTTCCGATTGATTTGGTTTTTCTTATAGCCAGTAATGGAGAAAGGAAAGGAAAAAGGATGGTCCTGCTTTTATTGGGAGTGGGCCAAATCATTGAGTCATACGCAAAATTAACTTGTTTCAACCAAGCACAATCACGCACTGCCTTTCGCCTTTAGCTCTGATGACGTGCAAAACACGCTGGGGAGGGGTCTTGTCTTGACGGAAAATATTTGACGCTCAAATTAGATCTCGCTCGTGAATATGATAAAGATATAATATAGTGTAATATGCGTCAACTTAAAACATGGTAAACTTTTTTTATATGTAAGTTATCTTTTTGCTTAAGTAACCTCATTACTAGGAAAGAGATCCTACCATATTTTGTTTCTTAGTGTGTTAAGTTTTTTAGATATTAGACTCCTTAGCGAGATACATATGTCATCCTTACAAGGATTCTGTTCCCTCTCCTGCCTCGGCTCTTTGGTGGTGACCCATCAACCATCGATAGTTACCAGGTCGAGCCCACGACCTCCAGTTGTAACGTCCCCTCATCTGTTCGAGCTCCATGAGGAGTTCCAGTCAATATGTATAAATTATTGCATCAATTAGTCTAGGCATTTGAATGTTTAAAATTATCTAAATGTTTAATTAATAATAATTTATATAAATTTTATTACTTAAAAGTATTGGACATATATTTATATAAATATTAATAAATTAAATAGCAGTCCAATCAATTTTCTTGTTCTAAATATACAAATTTTAATAAATTAAATAACAACCCTCCAATCAGTTCGACCATTAACCCGACACTTGAAACCAGTAAATATGTAGCTTCATCGGTTCAATTACTAATCAAACCATTAAATATTGTGTGTTGTATTGGAACAAGTGTTTAAATACCGTACCGATAATCAAACTGGGCGAGCCAACGTTACGCGGTTCAACCAGTTCAACCGATTTTATCATCTATTTTACCGGTTTCAATAAATATTAAATTAATTTATTATAAATATTAAATTAATTAATATTCTAATAACAATATAAACATATTAAAATTAAGTGTAGAATTTTTATTTTATATAAATAAATTAATAAAAAATATATTAAAAATAATTTTTTTAAAAAAAATGGCATAAACCGGTATTTTGACCGGTATTTGTCGGTAAAACCACTATTTTGGCCAAAACGACATTTAGAGTGTAACCGTACCGGTCGGACCACCAATATCCGGTATTACTGGTAATACCAGTTGTTACGGTACCGTATTTAAAACATGGATTGGAACCAATAAGCTTCTAATTGATCATACTGAAGTACCGAAAAGCTATTGTGCTGGATATTTTATAATTCTGAATTGTCTTTCGAATAAAATATTATAAAGTATTAATATAATTCATGGAGAGAGAGAGAGGGAGGTAGGGAGAGAGATTATGAAAATAAAATGCTGGCTTCTCATGACTGTTTGCGAAATGATGTAGATGGTTTTTGGGCTATACTTGCTGTGATGCATGTGGAACATTGTACCGAAATGCATTTGCTTGGATATAAGATTGTTTTGATTTTGATTGAATTTTTTTGTTTGATGTAGTTAATTTGAAAAAGTTGTATAGTTAGTTGTTAGTGAATTTTGAATTTATATTAAAATAATATTTAAAATAAAATAATTAAAGTTGATTTGATATAAAAATAGGAGAGAGATTGTGTGAAGTGATAATTAAAATGTGAGTGAATAAATAGTGAATTAAAATTGATCTAATGTGTAAGAATAATCGAGTTGTATTATTTTATTATATTAATAATATTGAAGATAGTGAAATTGAATTAAAGGTGAGTTAAAAAAGTGATTTGTTAAAAATGATTGAAATTTTTTGAAAATATTTGTATCCAAGCATTTGGGCTCTGTCTATTCATTTTGGAAGCAAGAACACCACAAAATGTATACGGAAAAATGGAGAAAATACAATCTTTCTACAGAAACATGACATTTCAGTGATTTCACTCGTTACCCATACAGCCCAAACACTACACTAGCGTGAAATGTTTTTGCCAAAAGAATACCACAAACTCGTAGCAAAATGTTCTATTTGATTACCTCATAATCCTGTGAGGCTGTGAAACAACACAGGAAAAAGTAGAAACAATCACATACAAAAAGCATACAAACAACATAGAAACAAACACGAAACAACAGGCAAACATACTCGTAAAAAATGAGGAANATATCCACAATCGTAAAAAAACACAACCTTTTCAAAAAAATTCAGCCACATTTAAGCGAATTTCACATACGTACACGATCACTAATCAACTCGCGAAAAAATAAAAAATTTAAAACGGGCAATTCACGGTGGAGGGATTGCTATCAAAAAAATCCTCTGAGCACCGCACCTTAAATATTTCCTTCTTCCAACGGGTCGTAAAAACGCACACATATCCAAAGCACACATTTATCAAAGCACAAGGCCAAACGACTCTACAAAATCGCTTAAGGCTGATTTTTTACTACCTTGCACATGCTACTCCATAGTTTTTTCACAAGGAATCGTATACGCACAAAAAATAGTTTAAAAATGAGACACCGATTTACTGCAAAGTGAATTGATACACAAGATTCACCCAAACCATCTACTGCAAAGTGAATTGATACACAACATTCACCCAAACCATCTACTGCAAAGTGAATTGATAAGCCATATACATTGAATGCAAAGGTTTCATGACGAGTCGAAGCAAACATCGGAAAATTTTAGGCCCAGTTGGCAATAATAAACTGATTTTGTGATTATAAGATACTTTCAAAGGCAGCCATAGAAAATTGGTAAACATACTAATAATGTAGGTAGATATCAAGGAGCCTTCATAAACAAAGGACATTAAAAAACAAACTAAGAGGATAAACAGGCTTAATGTTAAGATACTAGGCCAATTGGACGGACCATCACAAAATAAACCATAATTCCTACACATAGTAACAAAAGACTGGAAACTAGCAAATCATAAACACAAAGCAAAAACCCAATGGATCCATCACATAATAAGCCAAATAAACTATAGATAATGATAAAATCAGAAGGTGGCAACCTGCGTGCACACCCTCAATAGCCCCGGGACTTCATGATCTGCAGAAGAAGCTTTGACTGTTGAGTCTTGAGCTCAAAATGCCTCACCAAGACCTCCATTTCTTTATTCTCGAGCTTCTTCCATGCTTCTTTGTCCTCCTTAACCCCCATTTCTCCCTCCTCGAGCTTCAGGTCCCCAACAGCTGGAATATTCTCGCCTAAACCACTCAACAACCTTTCAGTCATCCGCACAAACCTCCTCTTACTTGCCACTGAATCCTTAATATTATTGCAAGTATTAGCAGCATCCTCGACGGCCGTCTTTCTGGTAGATCTGAGAGGACGGAGCCCACTGTCACCAAGAAATCGAAGACCAGCAAGAAGGCTGAATCCGAATCCGAATCCGACAGGGGTTTGGGGTTCAGCCTTCTTGCTGTTCTTCGACTCTTTGGTGACAGTGGGTTTCGTCCCCTTAACCTCCTCGACGGCCCTCTTTCTGGTAGATCTGGCCTGTGAAGCGGAGGCGGCGGTGGCCTTGTCCTTGCCATTCGCTTTGGATTTTTTTCTGGACTTCTTGTGGGATTCGGATTCAGACCCAGAATCCCACAAGAAAAAACTACCAGAAAAAAATCCAAGGCGAAAGCCAAGAACAAGGCCGTGCGGAAGACTTCCGGATCGGATCGGGCTCAGATTCGATTTCCTGACGAGGAATCGTCGTCGGAAGAAGTTTCAGATGTGACGAGCTTCTCTGGCTCAGATTCGATTTCCTCAGACGAGGAATCGTCGTCAGAAGAGGTTTCAGAGGAGACGGGTTTCTCGGGCTCACGGGCTTTCGACATTTTTCGGAGGAAAAATTAATAACAATTTTAAGGGTTTTTCTTTGGAGGAGTTAGATTGAGAGTAACTGAGCGAGGGCTAGTTAAAAGAGGGTTTTTTTTTTTTTTTTTTTTTTTTTNNNNTTTTTTTTTTTTTTTGGGTGATAACAATAGATATGAATATAACGAATAGATAATTTTACAACCAAATGACAAATCTATACTTATATTAAAAGGGGTAAAGTCCACTTTTGGTCCTCCATGTTTAGGGGTATCCAGACTGAGTCCCTATTATGTTTTGATGCCCAATTTTAGTCCTTAAAACAAAAAAATGAGTCCCTATTATGTTTTGGTGTCCAATTTTAGTCCATAAAACAAAAAAGGCAAAATTGCATATTAATACACCACCTTTCATGTTTTTGCAATTTAATCACCACTTTTACAATTTTGCAAATTAATATACACCACCTTTACTATTTTTTGCAAATCGATACATGAATGATGGTTCCGTTAAAAAAATCTAACGGAAATCTGACATGGCATTGACGTGGCTCAATGCCATGTCAGATTTTCGTTAACGGAACCGTCATTCATGTATCAATTTGCAAAAATGGTAAAGGTGGTGTATTAATTTGCAAAATTGTAAAAGTGGTGATTAAATTGCAAAAACATGAAAGGTGGTGTATTAATATGCAATTTTGCCAACAAAAAAATGTAGTCCCTTTACCTCAATTTCTGTGAATTAACGGTCCATTTTTGCTCGACTGTGATGTTCTTTATTTTTGTTAAAATTTGTTGATTAATGTCAACTTTGACCAAAGAAAAATAAAAGAAAATTTAAATGCTGAAAATATATTAATAAAAAATTAAACTAAAACAAGAAATTGCACTAAATTAAATTAAAATTTTTGCTCGTCTGATTTCTATTTCCCTAGCATTCGACGCTGCGGAGCAAGCCTCGAATCACAGCTAATGCTCTTGCACCCATTTCCGGGTCATGCCATCGAAAAGAATTGCACCTATCAACCCTCTGTTTTTTAACCATTTCTTATCATATTCCAATTGAAGTTCACGGAAAGTACTTACAGGATATAGAGGGCAACTCAAGAATCTTCTTCCGAGATTATCATCCTTCCAGCATGTAGTCAACTTTGCAACCAGCTCACATCTACAAAATACCACACCATTTTCATCCATTTGATCGGATTTAGTCCCTAGGCGGTTAGGGTTTTTTTTTTACGTTTCACTGCAGTTCACTATTTCTGTCTTTTATTTTACTTTTTCAGCATTTAAATTTTCTTTCATTTTTTTTTGGTCAAAGTTGACATTAGTCAACAAATTTTAAAAAAAATAAAGAACATAACGGTCGAGCAAAAATGGACCGTTAATTCAAATAAATTGAGGTAAAGGGACTACATTTTTCTTTAAGGGCATCAAAACATAATAGGGATTAAGTCTGGATACCCCTAAACATGGAGGACTAAAAGTGGATTTTTCCCAATTATAGGGACTACATTTTTTTGTTTTAAGGACTAAAATTGGGCACCAAAACATAATAGGGACTCAGTCTGGATACCCCCTAAACATGGAGGACCAAAAGTAGACCTTCCCCTATTAAAAGTTATACCATATATTAAATTTAGTATAAAAAAAAAGTCAACAATATTTATTGTACTAGTGCGTACCCCGTGCGATGCACGTGAGAGAGATATTAAATGAATTATTTTCACAGGTTATGTCCGTTTGAAAGAGATATTAAATGAATTATTTTCACAGGCTATGTTCGTTTAAGTCTGAGAAGGGTTATTATCCACGTTTAAGTCTGAAAAGAGTTATCATCTATTTTCCATCTCTTTTAATCACCGTTAAGTCTAAAAAAATAGGGTTGTAATCTATTTTTCACATCTTTTAATCAACGTTGTTTTATTAGTCAGAACATTAAACGTGAGCATGTTAGGGCTAACTTGTAAAATAATTAATATATTATCTCACTAACACATTTATACTAATATAAATTTAATTTTATTATATATATTTATTCCTTGATATAAGATAAAATAACATTTTACTTATTCTTATTCACTATATAATAGTTAATTATTAAACTCTGTTGCCATATAATGTCATTATTATTTATAAAGTTATACAAGTTACACGTCTTCTTGTTCTTTTTATTTTATGTAATGAAATATATTTAATGCACGTTGATATTATTTATATAAGTAATCAATTTAAAATATGTAAATAAATTTAAAATTAAACAGTGTATAAATAATGTACAAAATATACACATATATTTTTTTAGAATTTAATTTTGTATACTAATTAAACAACTTTGATTTAAGAAAAGCCATGAACTCAATCTCATCTAATATCAATATTTTTCTAATTTGCATTGTAATGATTATTCTTATTATATATATAGATTAGAATTTTTGCGACACCAACCAAACTAAATATCACAACAACCAAGTAACAATTATGAAAAAACCCATAAAAGGGTTGTATACCATTACACCACAAAGTCCCATCCTAACCATTCAACAAAATAAAAGGAAATTAGATAATCATAGTTCATTCACAATTTGGCATGCTAGATTAGGTCATATATCCGAAAAACGGATTCACAAATTGGGACCTAAACTCGACCTTAGGGGAGAGGATAGGTTGCCTACATGTGAGTCATGTCTTAAAGGTAAAATGACTAAATCACCATTTGTTGGACAAGTGGAGCGAGCTAAAGGTTTGTTGGATTTGATCCATACAGATGTTTGTGGACCACTAAACGTTAGTGCAATGGGGAACTATCACTATTTCATAACCTTCACTGATGATTATTCACGGTATGGTTATGTTTACCTATTGAGGTACAAATCTGAAGTATTTGAAAAGTTCAAAGAATTCAGAAATGAAGTGGAGAAACAAATTGGTAGAAATATTAAAGTTCTTCGATCAGATCGAGGAGGTGAATATTTGACTAATGAGTTTCTTGATTATTTAAAAGATAATGGGATTGTCTCACAGTGGACGCCTCCTGGAACTCCACAACTCAATGGGGTTTCAGAAAGGAGGAATCGAACATTGTTGGACATGGTTCGATCGATGATGAGTACCACTGATCTACCTCTTTCATTCTGGGGCTATGCCTTAGAAACAGCAGCATATATTTTGAATAGAGTGCCAAGTAAAGCTGTACCCAGCACACCTTATGAGATATGGTGTGGTAAATCACCCTCATACAAATATTTACGAGTATGGGGTTGTACTGCTTATGTAAAGCAGTTAGTGGGAGGTAAGTTGGATATGAGATCCATCTTATGTAAATTTGTGGGGTATCCTAGAGAGTCTATTGGATACTATTTCTATGATCCCTCTGAACAAAAGGTGTTTGTTTCGAGGAATGCTGTATTCTTAGAGAAAGATTTTATCTCAAAGAATAGCGGAGTCATAGAACTTAATGAAGAACAACCACAAATTCCACTAAGTACCACGGAAAACATACCAGTAGAGACTGGACCATCTAAAACACAACCTCTTCGGAGATCCGAAAGGGTTTCTAGGGCGCCTGAAAGGCTATACCTATTGTCAAAAGACAATGAAGAGGGATTCCTTTTGGATAATGATCCAATAAGCTATGATGAGGCAATGTTGGACATTGACTCAGATAAATGGCAAGAAGCTATGCAATCCGAAATAGATTCCATGTATTCAAACAAAGTATGGACTTTGGTTGATCCACCACAGGGTATTGTACCCATAGGTTGTAAATGGGTTTACAAGCGAAAACGTGGTGTAGATGGAGAAGTAAATACTTTTAAAGCAAGACTGGTTGCTAAAGGTTATACTCAAAAACAAGGTGTTGATTATGAGGAAACTTTTTCACCAGTAGCAATGCTTAAATCTATTCGGATATTGCTAGCCATAGCTGCGTATTATGACTACGAGATATGGCAAATGGATGTGAAAACTGCTTTTCTTAATGGAAATATTAAGGAAGACATTTATATGAAACAACCGCAAGGTTTCATATCCAATGGGAGTGAACAAATGGTTTGTAAACTTCAAAGGTCTATTTATGGACTTAAACAAGCTTCGAGGAGTTGGAATATTCGGTTTGATGAAACGATCAAAACGTTTGATTTTCATAAGAATCCGGATGAACCATGTGTTTATAAGAAGGTTAGTGGGAGTGCAGTTACATTTGTTGTTCTATATGTTGATGACATCCTACTCATTGGGAATGATGTAGGGATGTTGCAGTCAACTAGGACATGGTTGTCAAAACAGTTTTCCATGAAAGACTTGGGAGAAGCATCCTTTATCCTAGGGATAAAAATCTATAGGGATAGATTTAAACGGATGATCGGACTATCCCAGTCGACGTACATAAATAAGGTGCTACAACGGTTTAGCATGGAAGAATCCAAACGAGGATATATTCCAATGAGTCATGGGATTTCTCTTTCTAAGACGATGTCTCCAAAGACACCTGAAGAAAGAGAACGGATGAGTCATATACCTTATGCATCAGCTATTGGTAGCATTATGTATGCAATGTTATGTACAAGACCTGATGTGGCTCATGCACTTAGTGTAACGAGCAGATATCAGTCTAATCCAGGTGAAGAACACTGGAAAGCCGTTAAGATGATTCTTAAGTACTTACGAAGGACTAAGGATATCTTTATGGTATACGGCAATGGAGAACTGAAACTAGAAGGCTTTACTGATTCTGGTTTTCAGTCCGATAAAGACGACTATAAATCCATGTCTGGATACTTATTTACTCTGAATGGAGCAGCAGTTAGTTGGAAAAGTTCCAAACAAGAAACAATTGCTGACTCTACGACAGAGGCTGAATATATTGCTGCATCTGATGCTGCAAAAGAAGCTGTTTGGATAAGGAACTTTATCCAAGGGTTGGGTGTAGTACCATCCGTTGTTGATCCAATAATGATTTATTGTGATAACAATGGGGCTATTGCGCAAGCAAAGGAGCCAAGATCTCATCAAAAATCCAAACA